GACCGCACGTTGTGGGCGCCACCCCGGCCGCTGCCGCAGCGGGAGGAGCTGGTCACCATGCTGGGCATCATCACAATCACAGGTGAGGCGGGCAGGGCCCGGGCAGGTGGAGCGAAGGCCGCCTCCCCTCGGGCCTGCATTTGGGGGGCCGGGGGACCTGGAGGACCTACTGGTGGGCGTGTGATTCTCTCGGGGCTCTGACTTGTTTGATAGGAAGCGCGTTCTCCGTGGTTCAGGGGGAAACCTGGAAGGTATTTTTTTGGGGACTGTCCCCTTCATGGGGGTGAAGTTCAAAATAGGTTGCGACAGCCTAATCAGTTGCCGTCGTCATGAAATATTAAATCCCTGTTTTTGAGAAATTGTAATGTCTGTATGTGGACCTGCTTGTTTGGAACTCCCCAGGAAGGGTCCGCGGCCATTTGGGGGACGGAAATGTTAGCACTGGTCTGAGTGGCGGTTTCAGTAAAGAAATAGACACTGGAAAATGGGGGGCCAGCCGGTAGCAGCATGTAGGCAATGGGTAGTACAAATGAATGCTGCTTAAGCTTGCTTTCTAGAAGGCTGGCCGAGTAGGACTGATATTATTTGGTACCTACCTCCAGCCAGTGGGTGACATATATCAGACTTGCAGCTTGTACTTGTAGCTTCTCTAACTTGGTTTTTATCATGTGGTGACCGCTTAGGAACTTGCCTGCTTCCTCCTCTCTCCCGTCTCCCCGCTGTCTCGAGCATGAAACTCCTTTCACTCACTCAGGTTTACAAGACCAGCTCTTCTCTGTATATTTGAGGCCATCGTTCGCCGAAGCTACATGTGTTCTTTCTATAGAAGAATTTTTAGGACTTACCTTTTTCCCCCTCAATGCAATTGCTTCTGCAAAGCTTTGTCCTCTTAAAGAATTTTAAGTGCATGTGGAAGTTTAGCCAAACACAAAACATCTCTCACTTCCTATAGATTAGCTTGTTTACTTTGAGATTTCCTTAAAAGTCCTTCCCCCAGCTAACTTGCCTAGACTTTCTATCCTCTATCTGGCATGCAGATTTGCATGGTGCTTAGAAGTGATCATGACATACACTATACAAATTTAAAAATTAGAAACACAAGACTCCCCATTTTTTCCAGATCACTTCTTTTCCTGTGAATGAAATATACAAATGCCCCACCCTGAGAGAGGCTGCCTGGGAGTGTGGTGTGTGGGTCACAGCTGGGGGTGGGGCTCCTTTTTCTGGGTGCTTTTTGTATATACAGCCTGGCCTTCATTATAGTCACTACTTGATTATCATGGGCTGAGTTTCTTATGGGAAAGGAAGGTAGTCCTATTTAGCACGAGCCAGAAGTTAAACTTGGGGAACTTGAGGGGGCTTTTACAAATTGATTCAGATCATCCCAATGGAATAATATGTGATCTGAAGTGGTTGGTGAAGGACACTCTAATTTTTAAGGCAACCTAATTTTTAAAGTAACTGGCTCCATTGCTTTCCGAGTTTTACTTCTATTATAATGGGGAATGTGACAAAATTTAGTACCTTTTTTCTGGTAATAAGAGTGCATAGGATGTACTGTACAATGCTCAATTGTTATGTCATTCAAAGACATCAGGTTCATCTGTTTATTGAGCTAGAAACATAGTATGTAGTTTCACTTTTTTAAATGCAAGAGCTGTGCTGAAATTTTTTTATCATTAACACTTGAAATAATAAAATAGGCTTCATTTATTAAAAAAAAAAGAAAGTGCATAGGAAATCCTAACTCTAAAGAGAATAACAGCAAATAAACATTTCGCAGTGGAAAAGGGGAATTTCAACCGTCTTTTTTTTTTTTCTGTAACTTTTCCTGATGAGGAAGGTTTATAGAGCCAGTTGTCTTTGTATAGCTGGTCAGAATCTTGAAAAGCAATGAAGAGTTTTATGGTTGGCATTCAGGATTAATTAAATACCAGATTACTACCTAAATGTGAGTTACTCCAGTCCTCTTTAGCACGACATTACGCAAGGAGCCTCTAAGTTTCACAATTACTGGGAAGGGAACAGGATGATGACATGCTGGTAGAATTACTTAGGAATGAGCTTTCATTTCTGAAAAGCAGGGAAAAGCTGAAGGAGCCGACCGCCCTCCCCGACCCCACACCCACCATTGAAACGGGGGCAGCAGGACTTGAATGATAAACGATTGAGCCTTCACATTACATGCTATGGCCTTTCTTGTGGTCTTTCCCTCATATCACCTTAGCAATAACTTAGCTTAAAATCTAGAAAATAAATGATTTGATATGATGATCAAAGAGATGTCGTCTCCTCCCCCCACTTATCAATGGTGTGCCAGGAAAAAAACCAAAAAACCTTTTTGAATTAGGGAACACACACAGCGAGACTAACTAAAGCACCATGAGGAATTAGGGCAACGTTCTTTAAATCTAAAGTAAACTGTTGAAGAAAGACTCCTCCCGCATTCAGGCAAGGTCTCGATGATGTATCGCGCATTTCTCTGTGCAAGTCATTTTCCAAGATGGAATTAAAAACCCTCCCCCTGGCTGCTTTTATCTGCCATGGAGGCAGAGTATAGTTGTCAAGCAACTTGGGGACATAGAATCGATACCCGCACAACTGTGAGAGTAATAATAATAACTGCTGCTTACAAGTGCCCACTGTGTGGCCCTGACCATTATTCCTCACAATAACCCTGCAAAAGGCGGGGGTTTAACTCCCCTTTTATCCCGAAAACGAAGTTCCTCTTGTCCCACAGAAGCGACAATGCCGAGTACCTCGTCCAGGGCCCCTTTCTTGTGTAGGATGCGCCCATGGAACACCATGTGAGGCCAGGGGGTGGCGACCTGTGTGCCCCTGTGGTGGGTTTGGCTTATCTGAGTTCTAATCCCAGTTAAACACCTCCCTTTGGGGGCTTTGTGGTTAGTGAGCCCTAAAACAAGGGGCGTTGGGTGTGTGGGATCTAAGGGATGGATTTAGAATGCAGAGAATTCCTGGAAGCGGTCCAGGACAATGCTGCAACTCGTAGGGGAAAGTTAACCAGCTCCAGATGTCACCGCCAGCAGTCCCCGATGTGCCTGGGGAAGGAGAGCGCTGGTTACACTAGGCTTCACCATTACGTGAGTGAGATAATAAAGAAAAAGAAAAAGAAAACAATTAAATGCGTGAAAGCACTTTGTATGTACGCTATTTTAAAAATCACTTCTTGTTATATCACACTGTTCGTGTTGAAGTGTTTTGAAATAAAATTCAAACGAGGTAAAAAGAAAATGAAATCACTTCTTGCTTTCATGTAACGTGCAGGATGACGCTCCAACCCACTGAGCCACCCGGCCAGGGATGTGCCCTGCATCTTTTAGGCTGTTCTTTTGACTCCATTTGCTCACCGAGCTGTAATCTCTAACTCATCCGGAACCTGTGTGCAGACAGCACATGAAAATACCTTACAAAAGGTTTCTGCTAACGCACAAACTGGGTCATGGGTGGAAAGATGACGGTTGCTTGGAGATCTCTGCCTTCAGCCAGACCTGGGTATGTGGGCTGACCTGGCTGTACATTTGGGATGGGAAAGTGAGGAAGGAGTTTAACACAGAAAAGAGGGCTTCGGCCACATCTGATCTGCACTCAGTCCGAAATGGGGTACAGAATCTAGATCTTTACTTATTACAAAGAGGCGAGAGGGATGCCTGTGCCCCACTTTTTCCCCCTTGAAATGTTTATGTTGGGTGTTAAAGAGGTAAAATTAGGTGCAATCTGGCATTCGGCTTCCAGAGTTTGAGAGGATCCCTGAAGGGTATGTCTGGGGGTTCCGCAGGCCTTCTGGTGCTGAGGTCCTGGGAAAGGTGGCTTCCTGTTGGGAGAGCCAAAAGCTGCTCGCTGCTGCCCTCTTCTGTTCGAAAACATGTGGGCTTTGGACCAGGCCCGGCTTTGCTGTGTGGTAGTGAAAAACTGGACCGACCTACATTGTTTAACAGTAGGGGGACCTAAAAATAAACGTGCAGCCTGTATATCAGCTTCTAAGACTTTGGGTGACTCATCAGAAGAAAATTCAAATATTCATAGTGATTACCTCTGAACAGTGTCTCTGTGGATGAAATCCCCACTTTCTCTATGTTAAAATGCCCTATAATTTATATTAATTCTTTTTGGAATTGGTAAAAATAATAAAAAACAAATAGTTCTGTTATGAAAGAAACAATAAAAAAAACATTCTAATGTTTGTTTCATTATTAGCATAGATGACCCACTGGTAGCTCATCCTCCTCAGTCGCCTTTGCAGGAAGTCCTGGAGGTGACCTTGTAGCTGCGGACAAGAACAGGGCATTTGGCCAAGGGCCCCGTGCTCACCGGTGGTGCCGCCAAAATGGACGCACCAGTCTGTCTCCAGAACGCATGCGCTTTAACCTTCTTCTCTACCTGAATTCTGTCTCTTCTTGTAGGGGGTGGGAGCGTAAGGGAGAGTAGTTTTTCTATTATTCACTACATTGATACATTTATATTGATACTAGAGGCCCGATGCACAAAATTTGTGCAAGAGTAGACCTTCCTTCCTCCGGCTGCCGGCACCAGCTTTCCTCCGGCACCCGGGACCCAGGCTTCCCTCGCAGCCTGGGCTTCATCCGGAAGGTGGTACGGAAGGACGTCCGGTATAATTAGCGTATTATGCTTTTATTAGTATAGACAATCTGAGGCAAAGATCCGGTGTCCTCTGAAATCTGGTAGGGTGAATCATCACTCTCAATTTTTGTTTTCTAACTTTTTATTATCTGCACTTGTTTACTCTTCTGAGTGATTTTTAAAAAACAGTAACTTCCGTCTGGCGGGTGTGGCTCAGTGGTTGAGTGTGGACCCATGAACTAGGAGGGCACAGTTTGATTCCCAATCAAGGCACATGCCCAGGTTGCTCGATCTCCAGGAGGGGGTGTGTCAGAGACAGCTGATCAATGATTCTCATCATTGATGTTTCTCTCTCCCTCTCCTTTCCTTTCTGAAATCAATAAAAATATATTAAAACACACACACACACACAAATAACTTCAAACTTATGTGTGAAGTTGCAAAAATAAAAACAGTCCAGGGAACATCCAGATGCAGCTATTGCTGACATTATCTCATGTGCTTCATTGTTGAGTCCCTATGTTGGAAAACACTAACTTCAAACTGACGTGAAGTTGCAAAAATAGAAACAGTCCAGGGAACATCCAGAGCAGCTATTGCTGACATTATCTCATTTGCTTCATTGTTGAGTCCCTATGTTGGAAAACACAACAAAAACAAAAACCAGCATGAGATACAATCTTCTTCTGTACCTTTGGAGGTGAGTTATATCCATCATGGTCCTTCACTCCCAAATTCTTCAGGTGTGTTTCCAAGGAATAGAAATATTCCCTTTCATAATCACAGTGCAGTGATCAGTGTCATATGCTTACATGATTACA